CAGGAGAATGGGCTGGGCCCAAGTCTTAGGGTTGCTCTTATAACCTCCCCCGGGCTTGGCTTGGCCTTGCCGAGGGCGGTCATCGGAGGGTCCCGAAGTCTTGGGGCGATTTGGAGGAGCCCCCGGCCCTCGGTTATGCTTGTTGTCAGCCCTCGGGGGCTGCTAGTCCGGGTGTTGGTGATACTTCTCCACCTCCTCGGCCTCAGCATACCGGTCCCCCCGCTGCAAGGCCCTTATGTAGTCGGGGGGGGGGGGGGGGGGGGTTCAATGATGAGGCTCCTTGAAAAGTTGCCGGTACGGAGGACGGTTTATAGGAGGGCCAGGAGGGTCCCGTCATCAGCACCGTCGACCTTGTCGGCCTCCGTCCTCCAGCGCTCTAGGAAATCCCGAAGGGTCTCATCCTTCTTTTGGCGTATTGTTAGGAGGTGGGAGAAGTGCTTCCTTGTGCGACGTCTCCCGGCAAATTGTGTCAAGAATCGCTGGGCGAGTTCTTGCCACGAATCAATGCAGCCCTCGGGCAGCCTGTTGAACCATTCGTATGCTGGTCCCTCTAAGGTGGAGAGGAACCAACGACACAAATATTCGTCTGACGCCCCCACCATCATCATGCTGTTCTGGTACTTGCTGTAATGTTCCTGGGGGTCCGTTTTCCCGCTGTAGGGCTGTATGTGTTGCCCTCGGTATTTTTCCGGGATCCGGGCCGCCAATACCCTTGGGGTAAATGGCGTCCGAGTCCGGAGTTGGATGACGGGTTCCCCGGAGCCCTCGGCCACCTTCTTCTGTAATTCCTCCATTTTGGCCATCATGGCCTCGTATTTGAGGTCTGAGTGAGGGGTGGAGGTGGTGGCGTGAGCTTTGTTGGACTCCATCTCGTCAAGCCGGCGTTGGAGGGCCGCAATAATCTCGTCCCGGGGGTCCCTCGGGAGGGTCTCCGCCCCCTGCGAACGAACCCGGGCCGAGTGGGCCTGATTGATCTGGTGGCGAGCATCATCGGCATGAAGGGGTGCCTTGCCTTTGTCCCGAGGGGGACGCTCCTCGTCTGCCCTCGAAACAGATCCCCCGCTTTCCTGGGGCCTTTGGAGTGCTTTCCCCCCGAGGCGGTCTTGGACCCCTCGGTGGTCTGGCCCTCCTCCGAGCCGGTTGAGGGCGGAAGTACGGGGCCTTTCCCTGTTGTCATTATGGCGGTCCCGGGACTGAACTTCCTGGGAGGATGTTTCTTGGGCCACCACCCCTTCGTCGTTTCTTACCCGAGGGGTGGGATTTCCGAAGGGGTGTGGCAGAGGGGGAAGTATGATGTTTTCCCCGATCTGAGGGTGAGCTGGAGCCAGGGTGCCGAAGGCACCCGGGTTCTGGGTGAGCGTCTGGATGAAGGCGGAGAGCGCCGATTGTACGTCGATGGTGAGAACCGGAGGGCTGACTTGGTCATCGCTCCGGTTTTTCTTCTTGGCCTCGATGCCGAGGCGGGCATCGGGGGCATTTTGTTGGATCTGAAGGCGTAGGTCGACAGCCGCCTGTTCCAGCCCAGCGACGACACCGCCCTCGGGAGCCCTGTGAGAGGCTTCGGGGGCGTTGACGTCGCCGAGGGCCAGGTTCTTGTCTTCTACGTTCTTTGAGTTGGCACGTGTTGTCCTCACCATTTTGATAGAGGGCTAGTGTTTTGTGTTTGGTCGAGGGGGAGGGTTTCTTACTCGATTGTTCAACCTCTCAACGAGAGCACCAAATGATGGATAGTCTACCCGGGGGTATATATCCGAAGGGTTATTGCGGGAATAACTTAGAGAGAAGTCAGAGCAAACAAGTAAGAGAGAGAGTGTATATTCGATATGTATTAAGCGTGGTTACAAATGGGGAAAAGGGGTGCTATTTATAGTAGCAATAAATGCCGGGCAGGGACACGTGTCAAGCGCTCATTGGCCGAGGGGTCACCTCAACTGGTTGGCGCTAGCAGCCGCATGTGGCCGCATTTAATGCGGCTGTTGGATGGGACGTCTGTGCGGGGTACGGTGATCTGTACGCATGTGAGGCGGATATCTTGTCGAGTGAGATGCCTTCGGCCATAGAGCAGTAGCCGAGGGCTCTTCCACCCGATGGCACCCTGGTGCCGAGGGCTCACAGTGCCGAGGGCTACTGTTTTCGCCGTTTTCTCCCAGTTTCTTAGTTTGCTTGAAAAACCTGTTCTGTGAGAATTTAGAGCCTTCGGCCGGGGGGGCGAAGGCACCCCTGACGCGTTGTGCGGACTGATTGGTACTCTGGGCGCTGTGATTTGGACCTGTTGGGCCTTTTGGGCCTGTTGGGCCTTTGCTGGAGTAGTAGGAGTCTGTGGGCCGGGGGTTCCCGGGCCATATACTCCATCAGGATATTTCCACTTCTTCCTTAGGTTTTGTTGTGCGTAGTATAATTTAGCTAATTTACATTACCTCAAATTAAGAAAAACTGAAAAAGTAGTTCACAGAGGAGGCTAGTTCAATTCATATGGTAGGTTTATATTTTTTTGCGTTTTAGCATATTAGGTTAATGTTATTTATGTTTGGTCTTAAAAAAGAAGTAATAAAAAGTTTAATACATAAAAGAGGATAGTTTCATCCATCATGCATTCATGTGATTTACAAGGATGGACTCGGTTCGGGCCTTGAACCGGGCCTCGGTTCAAGGTATGGGAGGCCCGGAACCGGTCCGGGTAACCCCCGGGTCCGGGCCGGGCCTCGGTTATATTTTTTTTTGGGCTTTTCCTAGTTAACCCTCAACCCTCCCCCTCACCCCCAAACCAACCCTAACCACCTCAAATGGCCTAAAATATCCAGCCCAACCCAAAAACTTAAAAAAAAATCAAAAAAAAAAATTGGCCCAGCCCGAGCCCGAACCGGCCAACCAACCGGTTCACCGGGCTGGTCCGGGCCCGCACAGTAGCGGGCCGGTCCGGTTCCGGGCCGGTTGGCCCGGCCCAAGTCCACCCCTAGTGATTTATGTATACAATTTTATTTTCTAAATTATTAAAAAGTGACTCATAAAGGAAGCTAATAATCTATGACAACTTGGTACCCATCTATTTATTTTAGACAACAAGAACAATAATGATTTTTGAAGTCAAGGAAGACCACTCCAGTATATCGATCACATCTAGGTGAAACTTCCAACATTGTTAATGCTCCTGCTTCGGCAATAGTAGCTAGTGAGACTGCACATTAGAATATGCACCTGCCCATCTAGCTAGTGATAGGAATGGACAAGGACAGGTCGGACCAGTCCGGTACCCGAACTGGACCGCCACTGTGTGGTACCGGCCTAGCCCAATTAACTTGGACCGGGCCTTGGGCCTGAACCAGGGGTGTTTTGGGGCGGGTCACGGGCTCATGCTCTCTTGGAACCGGCCCGGCCGGTCCGGGACTTGTCTGGACCCAAAATGTTTTTTTTTTCGAATGCATTGGGTGGTAGGTAGGTTGGGCTGGGTTGTTTGGGGGTGTTTGGGGGTGGGGTAGAAATAAATAAGAAAACAAAATTTTTAAAAAAATATATAAGGCCCGACCCTACCCGGTCCCGGAACCTACCCGGGCCGGTACGAGGTCTCCAACTCCCAAACCCAGTACCGCCCAAGGCCCGACCCGGGCCTGGTCCCAACCCGGGCCCGGTCCACCCTTAGCTAGTGATGATGAATCCCACCCCCGACTTGCTGCCAATGATTCAGGCATCATTTTTCTCTATTTTGCATCTGCTGTACTCCTAATCCACATAGGTCGAGGAGTGTGAATACTTTTCGTTTCTATATTTTTCAATTGAATTTGATGCCATCTACTTTTTAGTGAAACATATGTCGATGCATATACCCAGAAATATATGAAGTTTTGCAGATTTAATGCCAAGCATTTTTGAGAGTGCATTTGTTTTATAGGATAAATTACCCATCTATTTGCGCTCTATGAATTGTTGGGATATACGTCTTTCATTTTTAAGGTATGGAACACGCTGGCAAAAAAGCAAAAAAGATGTAGGATAAGCTTGAAAAATATCAACTTGGTGAAGTATTTCTTGAGACCTCTCTATCTATGAGATTTTTGTAAACTGGCAGGAAGGTAGTAGTCTGAAAGCACTTTCTTGAAAGAAAGTTTGAAGAAAGTTGCTTGCGTTTTGAATGTGACTCGTAAATTTTCTGTTGTACAGAAGTAAATGAAAAATCAACACACTTATTTTAAAAGAAAATATGAAGCCTAGTTATTGCTCAAAAATAAAACGAGCAATGTGTATCATTCGTCCACCAACATATTTAATCTTACGCACTAGGAATGAGAGGTTGAAATTAAGGTAATTTTTGTCTTATGGATACCTCTTTTTATTTCGTTGTACATTTTTTCTTTCCTATACTCTACATTTTTTTAAAAACAACAAATAAGTACATTGAAAACCGAAAACATAATCGAAAAAATCCGAACCACAACCAAAACAACCGAACTCAAAAAACCAAATCGAACCGTAGTTGTTTGGTTTCGGTTTTGGTTTTCACGTCTCAAAACCGAACCGAACCGAACAAATCGAACTTTTTAAAACTTGCTACTTTATTTATCATTAAGTATAATATTTTTCATAGTTCAACATATTCATCAAATTCAGTCACTTCAGAGAAATCAAATGTTTATTAATTTTAGCAGGATTAACCGATTCAATCAATTTCAGTGTTATCAATTGGGCCCTACATTTGCTCCTCTACGTTATATACCGCCGCTTACACGGTTCAAAAAGTAAAAAAAGAAAGTCCATCTTTAAATTAAAGTTTAGAAAGTTGTTATTATTATAATATAATTTTACCATTTTTCTTAATTGATAATAATAATTACTAAATAGAAGTATATTAACTGCTAATATTTCTATAACAAAAATATGATGTTTATTACCTCTTACTTGATCAAAAAGTAAGAGGAATAACAGCATTTCAAAGATACGAATTATTAATTAAATGAGTCAAATAATAGGAAATAAAAAAGAGAAACGGGTCAACGTCTAGGTTGCTACTACGGACTACACTCCCTCGCTTCCCTATATATAAGAGTCGCAATATCATAGTGAAGCCATTAAGCTTCCATTAATTCTTATTCTTACAAATTAAAATCAGAGAAGATCCATGGCCATGGGGAAGGGAAAGTCCAAAATTCTGATGAAGAAGATCGAGTTTTTACCGGCCCGAAACGTCTGCTTCTCCAAACGCAAAAAGGGGCTGTTCAAGAAGGCAGATGAACTCTGCAGCCTATTCCCGGGAGTCAAAATTGCGGCGGTCCTCTTCTCTCCCGCCGGAAACCCTTACATGTACGGAGACCCAGCAGGTATTCTCGAGACGGCGGGCGAGAGTGAAAAGAGAACCGGATTAGTGGGTAAAGTGTCGCAGCGGGAGGGCGGCGGTCCTCTTTCTGCTCGGTTTTCTTCGCCCATGTCCGGTGATCCGGGCGAGAATACTGCTTGGAACAGCGGCGGACCGTTGGCTGACGAAGTTATCGAATCAGTGATCCGAGAGGTGCAGCAGAGGCAACTGCAGGGAGGGTGTCCTGTTAATTTTCCTCCGCAATATCCTTCGCCGTCCTCTGTTCCGGCTGGGGGCGGTGGCCATGTTATTTGTGAACCCTGCTGCTACTCGCCAATTGAGAAGGAGACACTCGATACTCTTTGGGAAGATGATTGGCTAATTAGTGGAGAAGACATTGGATCAATGATCCGGGAGTTGCAGGCGGAGCAGGGCGGCGGTCCTGCTTTTCCAGAATATGGACCGTAAATATGTATATCCTGGTTCGAACTTTGAGAATGTTACTAGTTTATGATTTAATTCTTGCTTTAATTTGGTGTATTTTTATTGATTTTTTGTTGATTATAAAATGGTTTCTTGTACTCCGTATTTTAAGGATGTTTTTACTTGGACTGTCCAAATAAAAATAACATCCTAATTAGTAAGTTTTGAATCAATATTTAATATTTATCGAATCATACTAACGTATCGATATGTTACTTCATCTCACATACGTAGTATAACTGAATCTTAATTAGTTAACGGATTTATATGTGTAAGCAGTTCTTGTTACAATCATTACATGATAAAGGTTCATTTATGAAATATCGAATCTTACGGTTCTAGTTAGTGGATTTGTTTCTAAATTTTAATGATGTCAATATTCATTTTATAGATTGATCAAATAAAGTCCAAACTTGGAGAGCAAGTGTTTAGTTATTAATCCTTTAATTTACTAAATTCAATGAGAAAACTTCTCGTTAATTTGCATGTGGCAATAGTTCAGTAGTTCACTATCAAACACTATTAATTATCAACTCTAAGCTAATTTTATCCGGAACGGGTATGGTGTCATCAACTTTTACTCATCTAATTATAAACCAATGATCATAAATTAAGAGCACATTTGATGACCCCATTTTTCAGCTTAATTATTAGTCTTATCAGTTTTTTTTTTCATTGTGTAAATCAAGTAATGTTTGTTTTCGTGTTTTGAATTGTATAATACTCAAAGTAAGGAACGTTGCAGTTACTTTTCAGACCAAATTGGTTGAAGTTACGGTAGAGAGATAATGTTAACTAATAGTTCATTTAATTTTTTCTTTATTATATTAATAAAACATATTTAAATATATTTTTTTCATATATAAATAGAATAAACTAATCCAGCCATTTCAATCAAAACTTTGGAGCTCTTAATGAACTTTATATTTGCTCCCTCCTCTAATTTTACTTCTCACGCCCTACCTACTTATCAAATTCTATACGTTTTCAAATGTTTACATTTTTTGTATAATTAGTGAGTATGTACATGATGTACCTAATGTACACATATTGATGGAGTATATGGGTCTGAGCCCCCGGACCCACATACTCGGAAGAACAGAAAGCTCAAGACACAGAGTGGCGCCCTCGTCGGCCAAGACGCCCCCGTCGGCCGAAAAGGTGCCAACTCAGATTGTGGTCCTGAGCCCAAGGAACCCGGGTGCCCTCGTCGGCCGTGCCCTCGTCGGCCACGCCCTCGTCGGCCACGAAGACCTCACAGAACCGGATTTTATACTTACTCATTTGTACAGCCCATTAGTGGCTTTGTATTCGGCCCAGTAGCGGCCCAGTTGTAAATGGGCCTCCCAAGCCCAAGGCTTGGGAGCCCAGCCCGTATTTTCTCTATAAATACTCCCCTTGGGAGTAGTTATAGGGGTTACAAATTCATTCTATTGAAGCATATTACTGCACTTCTCTCTCTAGCTCTCACTTCTCTCTAGATATACTCTATCATTTGGTGCTCTCGTTGAGAGCTAGAACAATCAAGTTAGCACCCTTCGTCGCTACCAAGCACAGCTAACCACTGATCATGGGAAGAACTAAGTCAAACCGCAACCTCGTCAGCAAGGCCATCTCTGAGGACCAAGAGCCCAGGGAGCACGATGAGGACGCCACGGCCGAACAGGTCGGCGGAGGGGACCTCTTCCAGGAGGCCTTCAACCTCACGACGGACCTCCGCAACCAACTCAACGGCGGAGCCCCTGATGCTCGCCTCGGCTTGGACAAGAAACGAGCTGAGAAGACAGATCACGCCCTGACCCAGCCTATGGCCGCGGCCTCTCCGTCCGTGGATCCAAAGGTCCAGGCCGCGCTGTCGGCCATCATCGCCAGCCTGGCTCAGAACCCCACCGTCCTCAGCGCACTCTTGCCAAGGACCGGGGGGAACGTCACTCAACCTCCTCAGCCCCAACCGTTGGCCGTCCAGATAGGCAACGATGAGGGGGTGGTGCCCCAGGACACGGCGTCGTCCCACTCCCACCCTGCTTCCCCTCTTCGGCCTGGGCAGACCCCAGCGCGTGGAAAAGCCTCTGCCTTCAACAGGCTAGGTGACACGCGCCGTCGTCCGGTTTCGGAGAGGATGGCGGGACAGATTGGTGAGCCTCGTCCTGGCTCGCCGATGGAAAGCTTGGGGTCTGTGTCCCGGACAGCGGACCAGCCCCGCCCGGACAAGGGCAAGGGAAAGTTGCACGAAGACGATGTGCGCCACCGGATCAATGCGGCTCACGACGAGCGCATGAGGAACCAGCCGGGCGCCGCTGCGGCCGCCAGGGACCCCCGGGACGAGGTCATCACCGAGCTGGAAAGGAGGTTGGCACAGATGGAGGCCAAGCAGTCGGCCAACATCCCTACGGCCGGCGCCTCCAACGACCCCGGCCTCAACGCGCTCATGAACAAGGTTAGCGCCCTGGAGAGGGAGCTGGCCGAGGGGCGAGGTGACCCCATCATCCAGGTCAGGACCAGGACCCCTTTCACCAACAGGGTCCTCTCGTCCCCCATCCCGGAGAAGTACAGGGGAAACGCCATCAAGTCATACGATGGCCGATCAGACCCCCAGGAGCACTTCAGCCGTTATCAGAACAACATGCTGATGGTGAACGCGTCCGACGAATACCTCTGCCGTTGGTTCCTCTCTACTCTCGAGGGGCCAGCGTACGAGTGGTTCAACGCGCTCCCCGAAGGGAGCATCGACTCATGGCAGGATCTCGCCCAACGCTTCCTCACTCACTTTGCCGGGAGGAAGCGTGCGAAGAAGTATTTCACCCACCTCCTCTCCGTCAAGCAGCAGCACGAGGAGTCCCTCCGGTCATTCATTGATCGGTGGACGAGGGAAACCGAGGAGGTCGAGGGGGCCGATGAGCGCACCCTCCTCACCTTGTACCAGGGAGCCCTCCGCAGCTCCCCGTACGCTAGGAGCCTTATCACCGACCCTCCGAGGTCGTACGCCAAGGCGCTCCAGCGCGGAGGCTTGTACGCCGACGCCGACGAGCTCCATAATCACAAGAAAGAGGGGGGCCATCCCTCCAAGAAGACAAATCCTTCGCCGGCCCGGGGTCCGTCCCCGGCCGGCCAGGGTGCCCAGGGCCGTTACGGCTCTGGTGGACAGAGTAAGAAAGATCGCCACTTGCGGCCGAGGTTGGAACGGCCGGGGTCTCCCTCACTCACCCGGTCGGCACCATCCTCGATTATGCCGAGAAGCACGGCCTCATCGAGCAGGCTCCTCGGCCGGCCGAGGAGATCCTTGCCATCCAGCAGGGCGGCACATACTGCCGGTTCCACAAGAACTCGTCGCACAACACCGACGATTGCATCTCACTGAAGAAGGCCGTCGAGCGCCTTATTCGCCAGGGGGAACTCTCCCAGTTTGTTAAAGGTGGCCCACGCAAAAACACATGGGTAAACACCGGCAAACATGGGGGCGAACCCTCTGCGAAGAAGCGCGAGATTGGTAGACTCAGCGACGACGAGGACTTCGAAGAGCCCCAGCCAAAGAAGAATCACATTCACCTCATCGTAGGTGGAAACACTGGGGGGGACTCCGCCACTCAGAGAAAGAAATGGGCCCAATCCCTCTACATTGGGGAGGTGTCCCACGTTCCCCCCCCCCCCCCCCCCCAGCCGAAGAAGCAGCGAACGGAGGCGATCACCTTCACCAACAAGGATTTGCCTCCGGGGACGGAATCACACAGGGACGCCCTCGTCATCCGGTGTGAGATCGGTGACTCCATCATCCACCGCACTTACATCGATACGGGGAGCTCCGTCAACGTGATGTACTTGGATACCTTCAGGCAGCTGAAGCTGGATAGGGCTCTGCTGAAGCCGATCAAGACACCGTTATCCGGCTTCACCGGGGACTCTATCGACGCCGAGGGCACGATAGTCCTCCCCGTGGAGGTCAGTGACGGCCCCCACCGCGCCAGAATTGACATGGAGTTCATGGTGGTCAACCTCCAGTGCGCCCACAACCTGATCTTGGGCCGGCCAGCGCTGGAGGACTTGGAGGCCATCATCTCCATGAAACATTTGTGCCTGAAATTCCCCACCAATGACGGCATCGGCTTCGCCAGAGGAAATCAGAGGATTGCCAGAGCTTGCTACCTCAAGCTAACGAGGCCGGCCGAAAGGGAAGGACAGAGGATAAACACCATCACGGCCGCCGTCGCCATGGACGAGGAGAGGCCACATGCGGAGCCGGCCGAGGAGGTCGAGGAAATCCCTCTGGATACCTCCCGGCCGGAGCGGGTTCTCAGAGTCGGGAAGCAACTCCCCCAGGACCAACGAGACGCCATCCTCCTCGTCCTACGGTCATACGCCGTTGTCTTCGCGTGGGGCCCGGACGATATGCCAGGCATCAGCCGCCAGGTGATCACTCACCGGCTGACCGTCGATCCGGCCTCCGCGCCTGTCAAACAGAAGCGGCGTTACTTGTCCGCCGACAGGCGGGACTTCGTCAAAGGGGAGGTCACCATGCTCCTCTCAATCAAACACATTAAAGAGGTGAAGTACCCGACATGGTTGGCCAACGTCGTCCTCGCCCAGAAACCGCCGACGTTCAGAATGTGTGTTGATTACACTGACCTGAACAAGGCGTGCCCCATGGACCCGTTCCCTCTCCCCAACATTGATCAGCTCGTGGACGAGACGGCGGGGTGCGAGTTGATGTCGTTCCTCGACGCTTTCAGAGGGTACCACCAAATCTCCATGCATGAAGATGACGCTGAGAAGACGGCATTCATGACCCCAGAGGGAATCTTTTGCTACCTCGTCATGGCCTTCGGACTCAAATACTCCGGCGCCACCTACACTAGGATGGTGGCCAAGATCTTCAGGGCGGTCCTTGGCCGGACGATGGAGGCGTACGTCGACGACATGATCGTCAAGAGCAGGCAGGCCACCTCCCACGCCGACGACCTCCGGGAAATCTTTGGAATAATGAAGGAGTTCAGGCTCCGCCTCAACCCGAAGAAGTGCGCCTTCGGCGTCCAGGGCGGCAAGTTCCTCGGCTACATGGTCAGCCGGAGAGGCATCGAGATAAACCTGGAGAAGACGCAGGCTATCATCAACATGGAGCCGCCCCGCAACGTCAAGGAGGTACAGCGACTGACGGGGCGCCTGGCGGCCTTAAACCGGTTCCTCTCCAGGTCAGCCGA